AAGGGCGTAACCCAACTCCCACCCAGCGGTCGCCACGAGGATGTTACCCTGGCATTAGCCGATGGCACAACAGTAGCAGCAGTGGGTAGACCATCTGTCAGAATCTTGCCACCACAGGCGCTAGCGTACCACAGGCTATTCTGCCGTCGTCACCATTGCAACTATATACACACCCATACACATGCCAGGAATGTTATATATACACATTTTTGTTCACCCTTGCTTGTGTTAACATGTTCATGCTGCAATTGTACGCCTCTCGTTGTCGAGCATGAATGTTTTGTTATTTATTTGAGTAGTATAATACGCTGTTTTGCTTTCCTCTTATGCTCCAGCCGACTACAGTTCAAATGATGTAATGGACACATTCTATCACGAATTGAACGCGCTACTACGCAGTGCTACTATTTCAGTTGGTATTGTAGTTGTGAACGATATGAACGCACAAGTATGGCGTCTGAGATCTTCAGAAGGTCAAGTGGATTGTAACTATGGAGTTAGGAAAGTACTGACAACTGCGCGGGTCTGCTGCAACTGTCTACGGAGCACCAGTTGTTACTTTGTACCACTGCTTTAAGACACAGTGGGCGCCGAAGTGCCACTTGGCGTCCTCCTGTAGTTGGCCAACGATGGACGGAAATAGATCATATTGCCATAAGTTACAAGTGGCTTGGTTCCACACTAGATTGACGCTCGTACTGCAATACCTGCGTCGACTCTGATCATGTCTTGCTACGCTGTCTGTTCTCCAGAAACTTTACCGGGAGGCGCACCAAGCATCTCCTCCGATTGACAACTGAGAAATTGTCTCCGCCGTCTCTCAAGCAAGCCTATCAAGAAGAACTGTGTACCGAACTTTTGCTATCTTGTCCTAACGACACTGAACTTCAATGGAATAGGATCTTGGCCACCATGAATGACGCAAGAGCATCGATTTGGGGCCCTATCAATCGTCATCGTACCAGTCCCTGGATATCCGAGAGGTCGGTGAACCTGTTGGAATCCAGAAGAAAACTCCTGGCTGGCTTTGAACTCAGTGTGGCCAGAGGAACTTCTTGCGCATACGTGCTGACAAGTAAACCTGGTAACCGAGTCGGGCTCAAGTAATGGAGGACGAGGGAGTAGTAGGGAATTACCGCCAGCTCTCCCAGCTAATCCACAACACTGGCGCCAGGAAACCAGGCGTCAGTGAGACAACCAGAAACAGCGCCGGTGTACTGATACACAATAAGGAGCGCCGTATGGTTCGTTGGGCGGAACTCTTTCAAGATCAGTTCAGCTGGCCCCCTGTTCCCAGATATCTTCCCACGCAGGCGATTCAGGACGAGCCATGCACGGTTAGTTTAGAGCCTCCGTCGGAAGCCGAGGTCCGAAACGTGATCACAGCCTTCAATCGTTTTCGTGCCACTGACGCGGATTCCCTCCCACCTCCACTATTTAAGGATGGAGGTGAGGTCCTCTGCAAAGCACTGGCCTTCTTATTCGAACGTATCTGTAAGTGTCCCGACTAATTGGACCGCATCGATTATGGTGGCAATATACAAGAAGGGCAGTCGCACAGACTGTTCTAACCACAGGGGTATTAGCCTAACGCCAGTTGTGACAAAATTATTGGTCTCGATTCTCCTTCGTCGCCTCAATGCGGAACTGGAATCTCGGATTAGGGAAGAGCAGGCCGGTTTCAGTCCAGGACATGGCTGTATAGACCATATATTCACGCTGCGGCAGGTGCTAGAGCAGCGCCACGCATACCGCAGACCGACAATAGCTGTGTTCCTCGATACTGATACTGATACTGATTAGAAGCAGCGAGGAGAGCATGCTCTGTGTAGCTGCATCAATTGTCGCACTTGGACATCAACATATTAGTTACCGTACCACTCTTTATATTTTGCATCTTCGAAATGTTTGTCGAGAAGCTTCTTAAATTCGGCCACTGAATTCGCCTCTATTACTGGCTGCGGCAGGTTGTTCCAGGTATTCACCACTCTTCGTTCGAAACAGAGTTGGTGAGCTACCCGCTTCAACTGCGGTACGATAAGTTTGTACCGGTGTCCTCGCGTGCCGCTTGGTGTGCGCAGATGAAGCAGTTGTCTCAACATGGGGTAATCACTAAGACGTAATATCCGGTGCGTCATGATTAGGTCAACCCTCAGCCGACGATATGCTAGGGTGTACAGCCCTAGTTTCTTACATCGGTCTTCATATGGCATACCTCATATGTTGGGAATCAGTCTAGTGGCTACATGCTGCACCCGCTCAAGCTTTTCGACCTCGCCCAGCGTGATGGGACAATACGCGGGAGAGCCGTACTCTAGCATTGCTCGTATTATCGAGACGAAGAGGCGAGTGGCAATCTCTTCGGACCAAGTGCTGAAGCTGCTCCTGAGCGCCCATAGCATCCGAAGGCTGTTTTGGTAAATCCTATTCGTGTTGTCAATGGACTTTAGGTCGCAGCGTGAGAGTACACCGAGGTCGCGCACGAAAGACGCGGGATGCAGCGGTTGACCAGCCACTGTGTACGTTCGGCTGTGCTCACACTTACCCAACCTCATAAATTGCGACTTAGCAGGGTTGATCGGAAGGTTAACCTCTGCAGACCATGTCGAGAGGTGATCGAGGTCCTGCTGAAGTAAATAACAATCATTGAGTGTGCGGATTACTCTCCACACCTTCAAGTCATCTGCGAACAACGCACATGGTGATTGGAGTAGCTTAGGCACATCGTTTACATGGATCAGAAACAATATCGGCCCCAGTACGGTGCCTTGGGGCACGCCGCTGCTCGATGAATACCAGTCCGTTAGATGGTCGTCCACCTGGACTCTCCACTTTCGATTAACTAGGAAATTTCTGATCCATTTGTGTAGCGAACCACCAACACCGTACCTTCTTAGCCTGTCAGGGAGCACTGCATGGTTAACCTTGTCAAAAGCCTTACTGAAGTCAATGTAAATGACATCGACTGAATGGCCTTGGTTCATCGCTTGTAACCACTCGTGCCTTGTCAACAGTAGGTTGGTGATGCACGAGCGACCTTTCATGAAACCATGCTGTGCAGAGGTCAACAGGTTTTTCTACTCGAGAAGCTGCAGAAGGTTCTTCTTCACAATCTTCTCGAGCGTCTTTGCCAAACCAGCAGTCAGGCAGATCGGCCGGTAGTTATCCACTTTACTTGGGTTACCACCTTTCGGTATAGGCTTTACGACTGAGCATTTCCAGTCGTCTGGTAACAGTCCAGTGGATAGTGACCTGTTAAACAGTTCAGTTACAGAAGGCGCGATGATGGCCGATAGGGACTTGAGGATCAGTGGGTGTATACCATCTGGCCCAGTAGGCTTGCTCCCGTCAAGATTTGCTAGAAGCTTGCGCACATCCTCAATATTGCAGTCCAGGCTGTTAAGTTCGGCTGGAGCGGTACTCGTCGAACTCGTTACAGACACCTGGTCACTTGCAAATACTGAGGCGAAGTGCGTCGCCAATGCGGAAGCACGATCTGTATTCGAGGTTAGGGTCTGCCCATTGGAGTCTTCTAACACTGGGACATCGGCCATAGACCTCAGGCGCCGTTTCACGTATGCAAAGATCCTCTTGGGAGCAGTTATTGCGGCGGCTGCAAGCTCCTCTTCGAAGCTTCTGCGTTTTCTTGTTTTCGCATCGTTGCAGCGATTTCGCTGTACCTTATACGCATTGTAGTCCTCATCAGAGCCAGATAACACGAACTTGTTCCATAGTCTGCGTCGTCGTCGGGCCAGTTTGTTGTACTCTTTGTCGAACCAATGTGGTTTGACTGGCCCAACTTTCCGAAATTTGAGGGGTACAAATCGGGCGCAAAACGATTTCACTCCCTCTTTAATGATAGTCCAACAGGTTTCAATAGATGAATCCTGTGGTAAAGACCAGTCTGTCTGGCTCGCTGCTCGAATGAGGCCATTACAGTCCGCCTTCCAATAGTTGAAGGCTGGCTCTAGCGGGGGAGAGTACGGCAGTGGTAGTTCCAAGTTGCCTATAATCATCGAGTGGTCGCTCGCTCCCAGAGGCTCTAAGATTTGAATGTTATGCACACCTGCTCACAGCTAGTCAAAAGTAGGTCTAAGCATCATGGAGCCGCGCGCGCAGTAATGCGTGTCGGTTGGTTGATGTGTTGTGTGGCCCCAGTTTCAAATAGCAACTCCGTAAACTTCCTCTCGACTTCACAGTGGCCGGGGAGAAGTTCAGCTTCAGGCCACTGTATTCGATATAAGTTGAAATCACCCATGAGTAGGAACATCTGACGACTCATGTGGTTGCGGACATGCGGCAACCACTCCAAACTGCGGCTCAGTGGGCTGCGATATACCACGCCCACGAGCAACTCGCAGCGTCTGAGGTGAATCGAACACCACAACTGCTCACATAGACCATCAGCGCTTTGGTAGGCGCTCACTAGTCTCCCACACAAGAAACACTTAATGTAAAGTAGAACGCCACCGCGATCATTTGATGGTCTATCACAGCGGAAGCATGAGTAGCCGGTGTTTTCCACTTCTTGGGTGGTTACCTCGGAGTTAAACCATGTCTCAGCAAGGCCTAATACATCTGGTCGCTGAGAGCTTACAAAGTCGTACAGCACATCGCGCTTGTTCATCAGACTGCATACGTTAGTAAAGGCTACGCGCAGACCGCGGTAGGAACTGCTGGGCGCGCCTGAAGCATTAGAGACCTGTTGATCCGGATTCGTGGAGGAATCCGGGCAACTACCCGAAAATTTACAATTCGCAAATTGGGTTCTCCATCCTCTGTGCGCCGTTTTAATTCAATCATAGCAGACTTAAGTTTTGCTCTGTCTGCTGGGTCTAAGTCAGCGCGCACATGAATCTTTAGACCCCTTAGTCTATGAAGACGGGACAAGAGTAACTTGGGGCTTGCTTCCTCGACAAAAGTTGCCCTCATTGGCCGACTTTTGCCCTCCGTTCTTTTTCCTAGACGGGCGATCTGCTGAACTTTGAGCCCGCCCTCATTTACATCGAGTTGTCTATAACAAGACAATCCACGGAAAAACACAATCCATTTGTAGCCGAAGGTATTTTTGTAGAAGGCTCCAAGTCGCCACCAGGAGTTTGAGGGAGAGGAGAACACACAGCGATCGCTTCGGAACAGCTGAATCCCTTGCCGCCAATGTACTCTAACTGAAATGTAGAAGTTTCGTCGAACTCACGCTGATTAGCAGAAATCTCGACACCTTGTTTCACGGAAGCAAACTTGTTGTTGCTAGCCAAGATTCCGACTTGAAACGCAGCACGTTCAATCAGGAAAAGCTCTTCTTTTCCGGACCCGGCTGCAGTGGATTTGAACTTGGCAGTACCAGGACCAACCGCCGTAAGATAAGAACCCACAATGTCCTGGAATGCGTAGGCTCTTGGATTACCTGGACGGAGTTCAAAAGCAAATAGCGCCGAATCATCCATATGATCTATGAAACTGCCGTCTCGAGTAAAGTATCGGCCATTTTCACATCGTAGAGCAACGCGACCAAGTTTGCTAACAGCATCACGACCTACAGCGGTAGAGGATCCGCGGACTCCTGAACCTGAGCCCGTGCCCATTGGAAGCTGTTCGAGCCACAACAAGGTTTCCGAGCCCCATGGATGCGACTGGTCCGCGCGCAGTTCGCTTCCGTTTGGGAGGAGACGAAGATAACGGGATCGGAATTGATGGCGGAGGTAGATTTGAGGATGAACAGCAAGGCGCTCAGCCCACCAAACTGGTAGCTTTGTGAAACAATTAGTTTGCGTTTCCAATCCGGACAGGTAAAACCCATGGGTCTCTGACTTAAAAGCCCATTCGCCCATGAAATGTGGAGAAAATTCCAGAACGAACCGTTCGTCCTCGCCTGGGGTAACTGCTGACGCAGAAACTTTTCCATCTTTGTCGGTTGAGAGAAATCGTCCCAGGTGACTTTGCAGGTACACTGTATGAGGTCGGTTCCGGTCTACTAGAAGAGTCCAGATCTGACGTCGGCGCAACGCAGTGCCGGACACATTCAGCTCATAATTGAACACTTCAGCAGTCAGCAGACGTCCAGATGGACTGTGAAGAATGCCAATCTTGATACACTCACTGAAATCCTCACCCAACTGGGATGCATCAAAGACACCCATGTGGATGGATAAGGAAACGGTGAGCCGAAAAGTAGGCACAGTACGAACGATGGCCGAACGGCCAGAGAACTGAGTGCGTTCGATTCAATCGATCGATTGCTTCTGTTCGAAATACTTGCGCGGAAAAGTGTTCCCACGAAATATGTAAACATCCTTCGTGCTCTATGCGCGAACACTACAGGCCGGGTCAGGGTCTACGGTGTCCTATCGGATAGCTTTCCGACCACAAGTGGCGTTCGTCAGCGTTGTCCGATTTAACCGTCTTTCTTCAATTTCCTCGTGGATTCTGTCATGGAGTGTTCCCTTGCGGAATCTCACGATGTAGGCGTTGAAGTGCTTCCTGGTGAAAGGTTGGTTGATCTAGATCATGCGGGCGCTATCGTCTTGCTTTTCGATGATATTACCGCGGCACAATCAACCCTGAATAGCCTGTCCAGAGTGGTCGCATTATTCAGTATGCGCTTCACACCTTCAAAATGCAAAGTGTTGCTGCAGGACCACCAGCCACTTGATGACCCCTTGACGCTTGCTAACGAGGAACTCGAGGTGGTCGATCAATTCACATATCTCGGCAGCTGCATCAACAACGATGGGCGAATAAAAACTGACGTCAGCCCAAGCATTGCAAAGGCCAGAGCTGCCTTCTTGAACCTGCGGCATCTTTGGCGACAAAAGGGAGATCTTCTCCGGCTGAAACGCCGTGTATACAAGGCCACAGTGAGGGCCGTTTTGCTCCATGGGAGTGAGACTTGGCCTCTTCGGCTTGAAGATCTGAGGCGCCTTCAAATCTTTGATCATCGTTGTTTGTGAAGCGTTGCTGGGGTCGGATGGAACCAGCGTGTCCGCAACGATGTTGTGCGTAGGCGAGTGTTAGTATTAGTATTAGTAATACGCATGCGAGTTCCCTAGAACAACAGATAGCACTGAATATGTTGCTTTGGTTTGGGCACATGCTACGTATGCCTGGTCGCCGCTTACCTATGAGGGCCTTGTACAGTCTGCCAGGTGTAGAGTGGTGCAAGGCTCGAGGTGGACAGAAGTTGACTTGGCAGCGAGAAATGAAGTCAGTGAGGACGGATCTGGGTGCCGTTGGTCCGTCTCGCCTTCCAGGCTGGAGTCCACGTGACTCGCCTTATGCTTGGCTTGGGAATTTACACGACATGGCTCGCAACCGACACCAGTGGTGCGTCTGCTGCCGTCTCCTAATCGGATTATCTGTTTAAAGTGTGTTTGGTGCTGAGTTATCTGCGGGGTAATGGCTGATTATTACGCGGGGCAGTGAAAGCCGCAAGGAAGCTGTCTCGCTGATGCTGCCTTATCTTTGCACGATAGTCAGCTGTTTGTGACGGAATGTTGTCTACACAAGGTGTAGGCGCCTTGACCCTGAATGTTTGCTTAGGGCATCGGGGTTTTCAGGTCATCCCCCTTCACTCCCTCTTCTTATTCTTTATTTCATAGGTCCTCATGGTTGTATGGCAGCGAAGCATCAGTTCAGATTTACTGCTGTTGTTGGTTGTTTAATGGATTGGTGTCCTCCCATCGTCAGAGACAGTGCGTAGCGCTCGTGCTCTATGCCAATCGTGCTGTGAACTGATAACCCGTAGACCTCTTGTCTCCCATCACTAGGTTTTACGGGAAGAGGGCCATCGACCACTTCCTAACCTCCGAAGACGATGGACTAGGATACATGCATGGCGCCCACACCTGATAGGAGCACGACTCGGGTTATCAAGAAAGGCCTTCGATTAAATGTACATCTGAAAGTTAGCGGGTCAAGCACGTGGTTAGTTCACTGACTCATGCGGATTGCTGTTCTGACTGTTAGCTATGAGAAGGGCGTAACCCAACTTCCACCCAGCGGTCGCCACGAGGAAGCGTCCAGGACATGAGCCGATGGCACAACAGTAGCAGCAGTTGGTAGACCATCTGTCAGAATCTAGCCACCACATACCTTAGCGCACCATAGGCTCTTCCGCCACATTTTGATCACGACCCCTCTAATAGCACTCCAAAAGCCTTTCACAGATACGGATTGTATCAGAGACCAGTCCACTTGACTCACGGCTCGCGCTGGGCCGTCGAAGTCCTTTATCCAATAGTTGTAAGCTGGCTCCAGTTGACAACATTACAATAAAGATTGATCCATACTGGCCATGAGCATTTATTGGTTGCTTACTGCTAGGGGCTCTAGGACATTAATATCATACATAAGTTTTTCACAGCTCCCACAACCTCGCCGAAAATGGGCAGTATAATATTGTTAAAGCCCGTAAACTAGGAGGGATAGTACTAGAATTCATTTTTTTGTATGAATTCAAATATACCTATATAAAATCCGTATTCGTCTTCTACTCTTATTTTGCTTATTAATATACGCTAATCTTGGAAAAAGTGATTGAACTTCAATAGAAAATGTACAACGCTCCCTTAGGATACTCTGGTGATCTCACTTGCTATGATCGCTGCTGTGAGATGAACATCGAATCCCTCTGGTTACGGAGGCTAGAACAACCTGAGTTTCATGTTTGATATGATCCACAAAGGCTTCTTTATCTGATACGCCGAGGTTATACTTCAAGCTTTCCTCAAGTATGATATAAGGAACAGACAAAACACGTTGCCAATCAAAAAAGTACGAACTAGCCGGTAATGTTTTTTCCGTACTCGAGTTAACAGCGAAATGACAGTGAGGAAAGTGGGGAACAAGCTCAATATAGACGTGAGTATAACCACATTGTATGATGAACGACCGAGTGCCATTTTACAAATGACAAACACCTCTTCTGCCTCATATTTTGGAACCGCTGAGATATCGACTCTTGAACACTTTCCTTAGGAGCGGATTGAACGCACTAAAGAGACATAAACTATTCATTTATTTTTGTTTACTTATGTTAAAGTTATGTTAAAGTGTTATGTTAAAGTTTGTTGTTAATGTTAAAGCTACTTCTGTCCCGGGGGCGACACTCTAGGAACAGAGAAGTCCCGTTACTCAACGCTATTAATTGTTGTATTGTTTGAGCGCAATCAAATGATGATGAATCTGAAAATTATCTTCAGAACTGTCTAGCTTATTGATACTTCGAGCAGTCATCCGTTTTCGATACTTCCCTTGTACATTTTGGCCAATCGGTCTTTCTTGCGCACATATTTTATATTTTTCCTTACTCCAAAGTTGGCCAGGGCTGGATCGATCTCCTGAGGTGACGAATTGAAGCTTCCGACGCTAAAACTTATACCCATGCAAGGCGCATTCCCATTGATTCTCTGAGGACAAAAGTGCTTTACTCTATAAAACCAGTTCATAGTACAGGCTAGGTGGCTTGACTGTTCACAATATACATACAAAACAACAACCCTAAATATGAGTTACAAAAGTGATGGCTTACTTGCTTTGAAAGCCACACCGGCACCCGGTCAGATGGCATGTAGAACTACGGGTGAAGTTCATCAAGGAAATAACCTGCATGGAAGCAGGTCCCCAGGAGGCGGTTACATGGATGGCCGTATTACTTCACTTACAAGTGTCTATTTAATTACACTTATTATGTTTTAAACTACGCAAGATTTAACTAAGCAATTAGCCATGTCCGCCAAAAACTTGAGGGCTGCTTTGGGAAATTCGAAAAATAAAACCCCTGCTCCTTGCGATTCCGCCGAACACCAAGAATTGTAACAACCAGTTGGAATGTACCTCGCATCGACGAAGAAAATACCGTTGTTTTTTATTCGCCACAACTTCATATTGCCCATGAAAGAGCGTGGTACTAGCCTCACATATTTGATCTGTTTCAAATATGGACGCAGCTTCTCAGTTAAAGAAGAATATACTCATTATTAAGATAGCTCGTTAACATAAAGTCTAAGCACGACGGAGATGAGCGCGGCGTTAATTATGTCGGCTGGCGTATGTTTTAGGCTGCTGCACTTTCAAGTGCTAAGTCCATGAAGATTTTTGGCAGCAGCATAGATATGGATGCGAAAGTAAAGGATGCATTGTACGAACATTACATGAGTTGAAAAGGAGTTGTGTTTTCATGATTCGTAACACCTTTAATGACGATTGTTGCCATCTCCGGCTGAAATCTCCCTGCATTTCCGACCTGGCTAAGAAATGAGACGTTTTGCTCAGTCAGCCTTGTTCACTGAGAAGATTTGTTGCTTACATGAAGAAAAATAAATGTTCCTGAATATAGGTGGAACCAGGCATTGCTATAATCTGGGTGTCTAATTTTTGATATTTTTAAACTTTGCAGGAAAGTGCCTAAAGTAGAAGATACTCTCACTTCGAAATACTTAGCTCTGATTGCAGAATTAGCCTGAATATCTACTAATCCTAGCCGCAGGTTTTCTGCTGCTTTGCTAACATCTAAGGTGAACGGGGTTGGGAATAAAGCGATTTGCTTTACACAAATGACCAATCACAAAATCTTTGCCACAATTCTTTTGACAACGTTTTCATCTAACAACGGTGATTTCTATAAGCGTAGCTTTATAATGATGTGTTAGATTTCTTCACGCAACTGTGTGATGAGTGATTTTACTTTAAATTTCAAACGAATAGCAGTTGGTTATGCAGCAACGTCAACAGTAAAAGACCATTTTCCTATTTATATTACGTGTGTTGACGTTTCATTCCTCAAAACAATTATTTCTTGTCTCAACAAACAAATATTTTTCAGTACTTTGTGGCAGAACGACAAGCAGGATTCTGTCTAGAATGGAACATCAGTGTACTGAGTATAAACATTTAATATGGATACTTATCTCCATCTTCCAAAATGATAGCATTAACAGTACTTGAGAGCCCGATCTCTGATAAAGTTCACTGCCTTAGTGACCAAACCAAACACATAACCTACGTTTAAAGTATTTTAACACTACTTTTGCCGCTGAATAATGTGCAAATGATAAATCTGGGTGCGATTTTTCTATTTTCGTTAGTTACCCAGCAAAAGCCAGTATGTCTACTAACTTTATTCGCAGAACCGTCAGTAGATATGCATGCAGATTTACTCGAAACCAAATCATAGTCACGCTGCACCTGCTCGAATTTTCGAGCATGGTATGTTG